CACCCACTTCAGAACTTTTATTTTCAAATTAACCACCTTGCTCATCTCTCTTTTTTGAGGGTACAGTGTCCACCCAATTCATGTACAATGTACAGTGAAATACATTTAATGGCCCGTCACTTAAAGGTTATTGATTTCAAAATTATCATAATCACTTTTTATGTGATAAATCAGATTGGACATTTAATTCCACTGTAAATGTACAATATATCGCATAAAATAAAGCTTTATATAATGTAAGGGCATTGTTCTGGTGTGACATTTAGTATTTATTTCTGTTCGTACTGTATATGAGTTATTATATTTACAAAAATAAAAATACATTTATTAATTTTTAATTTACTAATATTATGTTATGTGTTGCAAATTTATTTTATATTACCGTTAATGCTACTATTGTATAATATAATATTGTTATATGAGTTATTATATTTACAAAAATAAAAATACATTTATTAATTTTTAATTTACTAATATTATGTTATGTGTTGCAAATTTATTTTATATTACCGTTAATGCTACTATTGTATAATATAATATTGTTATTATTTAATAATTATTATATAAAATTGTTTGCAATAACTTATAAATTATAACTTTTTACACAAAAATATTTTGTAATTTACATTATAATACAAATTATATTTTACAATCACCATTAATATCAATATCGGTAACATTATTATTATGAATACTATCATTACATTCAGTGTTATTTTCAAAATCTGGCAAAACGGTAAAGAAGTGGATCCACGTTAGGATAACCATCGGTATAAGCATTACGAGTCCCACTATTATGAGTCCCAGACCTGGCGTTGAGTCCATCGTTGCGTTGAATATACTCGTGAAGAGGAAGGACGCGATCAGCGGCGAGACGGCCTCTATGGAGGCCAATAGGCTGAACACTTTGCCCAATTCATGTGGCCTAACAATCTTGCTGTAATGTGTACGCATGCCTATGGAGCCCACGGGGCCAAAAAAGCCCGGTATGAGCGCGTAGTAGAAACCATTGGGCGTTAATACCAAACCACGGATTAGGTTCAGCGCCAGGAAAGAGCCGCAACCAAATAGCGATAGTGTCGTGTCTCGCAGTTTAAATACCTTAAGCATTTAGATTGTGATAAAAGTGATTATTTTTTTTATACAGTAATTAATGTTAATTATTTGTGTGCAGGAATTTTTTTATGATAAAAATCACTACAGGCTTTTATAATTAACAATTTAATTGTTTACCAATTGTAGCTAATATTTTATCTATATTCACTATTAGCCTTTAATCCTGCTAATTATTATATCAGCGAACTTCTATAATATAGGTAACACTAAAATAATTTATGGATTAGATGTTACTCGTGAGTGAAATGTCATATACAGTATACTTTAGATAAAATGAACAGATAAATACCCTGACAAGTAAGGGTCCGACAATCATCGAACCCACCGCCTGGACTATAGATCCGATGGCAGAGCCGTTGCTGTATATCTTTGAGTCCCATTTATAAACTTTTTGCGTGAACTGAAACAAGAATATAATGGGCCCGACGTATGACAATAGGAAACACGCCATCCCTATGAACAGTAGCCATATCTGGAGTCGTACGTGGTTTGGCCGGCGCTCACAACACGTGATTAACATCTCTTTGACATTTTTCATATTAAATAACAGTCGTATGGGATGTATGTGTTTGTTGTCCTCATATCTCTTCAGTTTCCTTTCCAGCCGTTCGGCCGACTCTTTGCTGGTGTCGGCGCCGTCCGCACCGGTAGTGCCAAACACTCGCTCCCATTCTCGCAAATCTTTCTCTTCGTCCACTCTATAGATGACCCACAATAGTATCAACGCGTTTGCGATACCCATTATTAGGTACACTCCCGAGTAGTTGTGTATTTGCCCGGAGCTGAACATTGATGGCGTGTTCAACACTATACCGCCCACGTATGTGCCCAATGGCATAGCTATAGAATTTATTTAATTAAAAATATAGTTTATAATAATTAATTTGTTTAATTAGGTTAATAATATTTTCTACCGACCGCTAACGTTAACAATCTCGGCGATTGTCATCCGTAGTGCCCGCATGTGAAAGGGTGTGGTGGAGGCCACGTAACCCCAGGTGGCCGTTATGGTGCCCAATATGCCGCCGGCGGCCACCAAAGGCAGGGCACTCATGAGCACCACATATTGGGCTAAATTAACAAATAATAAAATTAAAAATAAATACTTAATAAATAGGGTAATTGTATATCTCGTACACAAATCAAAGAAATAATCATTGAGTATATTAATGACCGCTTCGCATATCATAGCCATTGAGCCCATGATTAGCAGCACTTTTTTGGCGTTGATATAGTTGTCAGTCCAGGCGCCGATGAACAGGGATGTTAACACTGTTGGCAATGTACTGATGATAATCATATATAAGCCAAAGTTGGTAGAGTCGGCCAATATCTTGGACTTAACGTGCATATAGTCCTCATCGGCGGTCATGTGTGACAATTGTTGACAGTATGTGGTGTTCATGCCGTACGACAGGCGACATATCTTGTCCTGAGCCAACTGATCCGTCGGCACTTTCTTCAGGGTATAGATGAACATCAGTACAAATATGTACGGCTCGATCGTTAATAGACGGCTAAATTGCCACAAACGACTCAATCGGCTCATAGGTTGTCCACCTTTTGCGGTCATTTTTGGTTAATTATTTTTTATATTTGTTTAATTAAAGTTAATTTTTATATAGATTTTAAATTAAAATTATACAGAGTTTCTAGTTTGGCATTTATAAAAGATTAAATAATTGTAAATATAATTTTGTTTGTAGTTATTAATCCTAATGAATAATTTGAAAATTAAAAACTTATTTTATTATAATTCTAGCATAATTAAAATATATATTTAGTATATTAAAGTTTATGAAGCTCAATTAAGCTTAATTAACTTTGAATGTTAGCTATAAATAAGAATATTTAATACTGTGTATGTTTAATTAATTACAAAGCTTATTTGTAATAATTATGAGCTTTTTATCAGATTGCTATAAAAACCCGTTGAAAGCCCACAAATTTACACTATATAGATCTTTAATCATAATTATTTATAAATTAATTTACTAGGAGCAATTACGACATATTATTTATTATTGTATTTTTGGCCGATTGATCTAATCATAAGGATTTAAACAATAGGTTTAACGGTATATCATGTGTTTAATACAGGTAACCAGGAATTTAAAACTATCCGGGCAAAATGAAGTAAATAATCCTATAACAATAGTATTCTGCAATGGTTAATTTGTACATTATTTATATTAAATATATCATTGTAGCTTCATTTTTAAATTCTTATTATTATTAATTACAAAAATTCAATAAGACCACAACAAACCTTGTTTGGTATAAATGTTAACCCTGTTTATTTAATAAGCACCTTGCTGGTTTGTGCACATGAATTCTTTAAGACGGTATTCTAGATAATCATAACCAATAGTACGGTATTCCACCCAAAGTTAGTGCACTCAGCTTAAATCCACAAAAATTACAGATAAGTTAATACAATAAGATCATATAAGCTTATGTTTGGAGCCAATTATAATGACCTTAAGAATCCATTAATTAGTAAAATACAAAGACCGTAAAAATATCATCATCGTATTTTATTTACAATATATTTCTAAATAAAATATTAATTCTTTTAAAAGGTTTACATTATTACTAATCTATATTATAATTAATCTTAAATAGAATTTTATATTAAAATGGTAACATTTAATGATACCTTATTATTTATAAACAAAAATCACCGAGACACTTATACTTGGGCAATATTGTACTTTTATATCACTTAAATCAATCTAATGTATACGTGCGCCAACGATTAAATTTGTCCTAGACATAGGTATTTTATTACAATTATTTTTTATAATTACCGTCAAAAAATGATATCAATAAACTAACCATCGTAAAATTAATACTGTACTAAAAATGTTATATCTCTTATTGAGCATAACAAAAACTATAAGATATTTACACTAACAGCTTATTAGTACAAAAATGACTAAAATATTCTTTATATTAATTAATTAAAAGTAATTTTAAATCACAAAAATTGCCTGTGAAAGATTTAATTGTTAGATTAAATAGATATATTAATATGCTAATTTAGTTATTGGTTGAATTGTTAATGCGATAACCTAAAATTAGCATTTTAATAAAATAGGAAAATTACAAAAAAATAATAATTAAAATGTTTATTTCACCGTGGATATTAATTAATTGTCTTTGTCATGTAAATGTTATGTTATACTTGAGCATACTTGAGATAAATCATAATAAATATTTTTAAGCTTAATCAACGTAACAAAATGCTTAAGTTAGTGATAACATTTAATTAGTACATTTAGGGGGTAAACAGTTTGATGCAAACTGTATTTAACTAACAATAAGGTACTCTACAGTATAATGTACGAATAAGTTCGCATACAATATAAGTATTAATTGCTTACCTCAGGTGCGAACCCTTCAGATAAAAACAGAACTCAAAACTAGATAAAATGTTTGATGTTCATTTGGATTATACAATGTATATTTAATTTGATATTAACGTTGATTATTGTTAGATTTAAATGACCATTTAGTACTTTATTTTGTTTAAATGCTGCAATTTACTTGGTTCGATTGCGTCAGAGCACTTAATTGCAACATTTAGACAACATAAAGTACTATATCATCATTTAAAAATAATTTAAGTATGGTACAAAGTATTATTTAATTTTTTTGGTGCAAAATATGAGCACTAGACCAGAATTATCATTGGCCAGAAATAACAGTTTATTAATTGTTGGATCATTAAAATGCTAAAAATTACAATTTATGGATTGTAATGATAATTTAAAATGTCATTATATTCTATGAATTATACATAATATGTACATAATATGTATATTAAATACCATATTTATTTTTTTATAAAACTATTGTTTTACAATTATATAATTATGTTATTAGATCACACAACTAACTTTATATTACAAACATTTTATTGTTTAGCTATTAAAAAGTGATAATTATTAACAAAATTGATTTACATTTAAATTAATTGTTAATACAAAATATGCTCACTATTTACACTAACATACATTGTGTACAACACAATTATGCTTTACACTCACTTATACTAGCACTATGACCATGATCAATATTATCTTTTACCTCAACGATATAACTATCGGGCAAAACAGTGAAGAAGTGGATCCAAGTGACGACAACAATGGGATAGACGAGTACGAGCGCCACAACAAGGAGTGAAAGGCCGGGCATTGTGTCCATCGTTGCGTTGAATAACGAGCTGAATATGAAAGAGGCGACCAGTGGTGAGACAGCCTCTATAGCGGCCAATAGGCTGAACACTTTGCCCAACTCGTGGGCCTTCACTATCTTTGAGTAATGGCTCCGTATGCCTATCGACCCGACGGCTCCCATATTGCCCGGTATTAGCGAGTAGTAGAAACCGGACGGGTTTAGCACAACGCCCCGGATCACGTTCATTGATAGGTATGAGCCAAAACCCACCGCAGCCAGTGTTGTGTCCCGTATTTTGAACACCTGATCATTCAATGTAAGTATAATTTTGTCATATAATTGTAGTTATATTATTATTTAAGATGTATTAATTATTGTACCAAGGTACAATTGGTGTATTATTGTATTTAATCTTATTTTGTGGTATTATCATCATATTTAATAACTAGGGGTTTTAAATCATTTTTAATATGTAATAGTTTTTAAAAATGTTCAAACTCCTAGTAATCAGTCATTGCCATTGAAACCTAACGTTGCCTAGCGTTGTATACATTACAATATATCTCAAAATATGATCTAGCAAAAAAACAATACTTAATCACTGTACCTTAACAAGTAGAGGGCCGACAATCATAGGGCCGACCGCCTGAGCAATGGTGGCCAGAGTGGCGGCGTTGCTATAGCGCCGGGAGTCCCAGGAATACACCTTTTCGGTGAACTGAAACATGAAGACCTGCGGCCCGACGTATGACATCATATAACACACCATCGATACGAACATTAGCCATATCTGGAGCCGTACGTGATTGGCGCGGGGCAGACAGCAGGTGCTCAGCATCTCTTTGACATTATTCAAATTGAACAACAATTTCATGGGATGTATGTGTTTGTTGTCCTCATATTTTTGCAGTTTGTCTGCGATCCGGGCCTCAGACGAGTTGTTAGTGTCGGTGCCGTCGACCGCAGCGCCGGTAGTCTCGCCAAAATGTCTCTCCCATTCCCGCATATCTCTCTCTTCGTCCACTCTGTATATGACCCACAATAGTAACAATACGGCCGACAGACAGCATATGATGAACACTCCCGAGTAATTGTGTTGGTAGTCTCGCCAAAATGTCTCTCCCATTCCCGCATATCTCTCTCTTCGTCCACTCTGTATATGACCCACAATAGTAACAATACGGCCGACAGACAGCATATGATGAACACTCCCGAGTAATTGTGTATTTGGTCGCCGGTAAACATGGTTTGCGTGTTCAGTACAATACCGCCCACGTATGTGCCCAATGGCATCGCTTGTCATTGTTATTAACAATGTAAGTAATTATTTATTATTAATTAATAAAATATAATTGAAATTGTGCTAAATTATAGCAATTATTACCGCTAATGTTGATAATCTCGGCGATTGTCATCCGTAGGGCTCGCATATGGAAAGGAGTGGTGGACGCGATATAACCCCAAATGGATGTTATGATTGCGGACATACCGCCGGCGAACAGCACCGGCACCTGGTTCATTAGCAGCACGTATTGGGCTGTCAACAAAAAAATAATAACAAATTACAACATGTTAAAAATAATAACAAATTACAACATGTTAAAAATAATAAAATGCAATTTGTTTACACAGATCGTAGAAGTAATCGTTGAGTATATTGAGCCTCGACCACCATCGCCATAGCGCCCACTATAAGCAGTGTCTTACGGGCCCTGATATAGCTGTCAGTCCACGAGCCGATGAATAGGGCGGTCAGTATAGAGGGAAATGTTGTGATACACGCGTTATATAAGGCAAAGTTGGTCGCGTCGGCCAACACCTTAGACTTGACGCGCAAATAGTCCTCATTGGCGGTCATCGTTGACAGTCCCGCACAGTAGGTGTTGTTGAGACCGTAGGACAGGCGACATATCTTGTCCTGAGCCAACTGATCCGTCGGCACTTTCTTCATGGATCCGACAAACATTACCGCAAACAGAAACGGCTCCACAGATAATAGCCGTATAAAGTGTCCGATTTGTGTCCATCGGCCCGAACGCTGACCACTCTTTGCAGTCATTTTTGTGCGAATTATTTTGGTTTAAAAGTAATTTAGATTTTATAAATATTGCAAATTTTACAATAATTAGTAAATTCTGTGAGTTTTATCATAAGACAAGAAATAGTTTTATATAAAAATTTTTTAAATTACAATTCACTACAAATAATTTGTTTATTATTCATTATAGTTTAGTTTAATGTGTTATTACAATCGAGATTATATAACAAATTATTGTTTATTATTTATAAATTATAATCCAATTTGTCAATGAGCTCCATGATAGATTTTAATTGTTTTTATATAGATTATTAATTGTTTACATATTCGTGACTTAAATCCATAGATATCTCAAAGTCTAAAATATTAAAAACAAATTGTGATAAAAATTGAAGAATATTCTGCACTTTAGTCTCTATTCCTTATTTATCTACAAATCTATGCTTTATATCTTGCATTGAATGTTATACTATTGTAATAAAATCAGTATATGCATGGTCAAATTGGGTCTATTATTGTGGAGAATTAAAGTACTAAATTTACTACATTTATTTACATAATGTTTTACTATTAAATGCTCACAATTTTCAATGATCTTTCTGAAATTTATAAAAATATTTATAAAATTCATAAACTTTATATGAAAACAAAGTAAATATAAATTCATAAATAATTCTGTATTAGTAATAAATTATATAAATGGTGTGCTTATATAAGATTGATTTAATTTTTGTTCATTATACATCAATAGATGTGTTGTATTTATTATTATTATAATTGTATATTTTTTAACACCTTGATGGTGTTTGCTAATGATTATCTAAGGGTTCAAACAGGACATTTGTCCGGGTGCATTTTATTTAATTAAACGACCAATGTAAAGATTGATAAGCTACAAAACTTCTTAAGGCAATCTGATTATAAATTAATGGCAGGAGGTTACCATAACAACAATGGCAAGATTGTTTTATTATCTTATAACTTGTACACTTTGATCGTGTGTCACGTACAGTTATAATTATTATTTTAACCTTATATCAATTAGATATTATGATAATTAACTATGGATTAACAGTTCCAATGTATCTTTTTCATTTATTACGTTATCAAAATCATTTACGTATAATTAACCTCGCTAATTCTTATGGTGATAATTAATGATTGATAATGAACTGCTAATTTATCTATTTAAATATTTTTAAACGTGTTTTTATGTTAATTAATAAATGACATAATTCTCCGTAGAGTATTAATTGTATATTTAACTATTAATATAAAGATTAATATAAATTTAAGTATACTATACTTAATATATTGAGAATAGTAGCATAGCTCAATAACTTATTAATATAATTAATAATATTTTTATTATTGTTTGCTGTTTTAATTATGATAAAGGGGTTAAAAATTCAATTAATTTTATTAGTAACTTTATATATCAATTGTACTTGCTATTATCAAAATTGCATATGCTGTTGCTTATATAATCAGAATAATATGATTGTTTTTTAACATAGTGAAAAATGTTTAATTCTCAATACATGTTAATACAAATTAATGTTACAATAGTTATCATTATGAATTATATAATGATTTTTAAAAATTTAAAACTTGTAATTATTTAATAATCTTTTTATTTTATAAATCTAAAGTAATCAATCATTTAGCATGTTAGCTGTTAATGCAATTATTTATCTAGGATTTTAATTATAAAATTATAATAAGCAAAACAATATAATTTATTCTGAAGTTCTCTAGTTAAAAATTTAAAAAATCAAACATAATGAATTTAATATTTAGTAAATTTTATTGTGATCGTTTAATTAATAACCTAAAATGGTCAAAGTATTACTTCTCTTTCATAATAAATATCATTTATTGTAATTGCAAATTAGCAGTAGTTAATATAAGCAACTTAATAAATTGGCAAATATGTAACTTATTGTATTTAAAATTATTAGTCAAACTAATCTGTCTTTCAATGCTATTCTACGGCGCGATTGAAGTGATCAACGATTACATGAGTTATCCATACAGTTATACAGTGAGTGTTGAGCCGACTATTGATGGCATGGATTTACCGCCGATTACTATATGTACGCAAAGGGATGTGTTTTTTGATAAATCAGTTATTTTACGAGAATTTAATTTATTTACTGATTACGAAAATTACAAACAAATTGCAAAAAATATAATTAAAAATGAATTAACTAAATGTAAATATTATACCAGTCAATATTATTGCAATCAATTAAACGACTCTTACCCTAATCTATTAAATCAATATTTTATTAAATATATGAAAATTCTTTTAAATAATTATACATATAATGAATTGTATGAAAAGTTTACTATAAAAGCGGATGATTTGATTAAATGTGAAGCAAAACTACATATAAGACATGAAAATAATAATAATTATAAAGTAATCAATAATTGTTTGCAAAGTTATGGCGTTTTGCAAAGTATTTATGGCAATGATTTTGGCATTTGTTTCACTTATTTTTTCAACACAAATGATAGCATTTATCTGATAGACAATGACTTTATTGAGTTTACCATCAGTTATGAAACTCAACAAAAGTTGCTCATAAATCAGTTTTTTGACATAGGTAAAGTATTACTTATGAAAAAATCATTGGCCAAAACTGATCTTTGGGGAATGGTCTCAAATTTAAACAAATATTATGGTATTAATATTTTTATGGATCAAATAAACAAAGTATTGATGCCATCCATCGATTGGGCGCTTAAAACAAATGGCATTGGATTTGATGGGAGATTAAAAATAACTACAACTAAATTAGATTTGCTTTCGCAGCCATTTATGGATGTTTGTCAAAAATCAGGTTGGTGTTTAAATATATACTTATTTATATAATTATAATTAATCACTAATTATAAATGTAGATACAATTGCAAACTATAACTATTATACCTGTTTTCAATCATGTGTTGAAAAATTATATAACAATAAATACAAATGTATACCAAATCCATACACAAATGAAATGTTTATACTAACAAATGCCAGTCAAACACAATATAGAATATGTGATAACAATAATAACAACATTAATAGTAACACAAATAATATTAATAATATCACAGAATATTCTTTGAATAAAAACTACTGCAGTAATAAATGTGTGAAAAGTTGTCACAAAACATATTATTCGCTAGAATTTGAGGATACAATATATTCAACACAAAATGACAGTAAAATACGGATTGAATACAAATTGAGTGAAGAATTTCGTTATAAATGCCAACAAAAGTATTCATTCACTGACTTTCTCTCAAACATCGGAGGACTCATCGGTTTGTGGTTTGGGTTTGCATTCATAGACACGAGTGCTTTGATTACATTATTTTTACACAAATTAAAAGTAATAATCATATTATTAATTAGTGAACATTGTATCATATTTATTAAACTTGTTATGAACGAATTAAAACTTATTATTACAAAACTAGAAAGATACAATTGGAGAACATTTCTAACATGTTTAACAATACCAATAATTGGTTACCAAATCTATTCGCTTATTGATAATTACTTACATTTCCCGACCGACACATCCATTGAAATAACTGAATATAATAACGGCTATAATAATAGCATTTCATTGGATTCATTGCCGGCCATCACTGTATGCTTTGATCCCATTTCAAAGCCCATACTATTTGTTGAAAAACATAGTTTTGCTTTCAATAAAACCATTGTCCCAATTATGCTACAAAAACAAATTGACCATAGACCAATATTTAATAAACTTATTCGCACTCAAAATGTTTATATACGAAAACTCATCATGCTTCATTTTGAAAATAATTTAATGCGATATCTATATTATAAAAATAAAAATGAACTCGATTACAGTCAATTATTTGAAGAGTACTTAAATAGTTCAGTAATTAAATACATTTTACAATACATGGATGTCAATAATGAACAAGAATTTAATGATAATTTGCTACATATCAATGAAAATATTTTGCAAACTTCTCAAATTGATCTCGATTTTTATTCCGGTCTTATTCTATGTAAAGTAAATCAAAAACATTGTAATGAATTAAGACCAACCTTAAAATTGATATCTCCTTTTGGTAAATGCATTACATATTTATCAAATATTAATAATAACAACAATAATAATAATAAATCTACGAATATATTTACAGAATCAATAAAAATAAGCGAGATTACATATTTCACGTATGGCTTTAATATATGGAGCAGTAAATATATATTACATTCAACTAGATCATTGCCCCAATTAAGCAGCAATGTATTGAAATTGAGTTCAAAATTTGGAAATAAATTAATTCAAATAATTAAATATTCATTTAAACGTTTGCCAAAACCATACGACACAAAGTGTAGGGAATATTCCGGTAATAATGAGACCCAATACCACTGTCTCAATAAATGCTATTTTATTACATACATGAAACAACTCAATTGTATTCCCATAAATAACAGCTTACATACCATCCATTTATTTGACAAAAACAATCATGGTGTTTATAAATTTTGTTCTACTAACCAGACACTAAATACCTTGTTAAATTCAAAAATTAACAGCTGGTGTCAACACCGGTGTCCCGTCTCATGTACTGAGGACTTGTATTATTACCGCGTGGTTACCAATAATCACATGAAAACTACTATTTGGAGTACGTCTAGTAAATCGTATAATTTCTTGGTAAAAAATAACTTTTACATTACTATTAAATATACGCCTAAAATTACCACAATCGCACTTATAATAAGTATGGCTAATATATTGAGTCTATGGCACGGTATTAATATAATTGAATTAATCACTTATATATGTTTTGGTTTAAAATTCTACATAATAAATTGTCGCAAATATAAACAATTTAAACGTATTATTTACATCAGACATCCTTTTGTTGGATTTGCTTTCAAATATTTTAACGCAAACGCAAAGGTAATAAATTATTTGTATTTGTTAAATTAATCATGATTTAATCAAGTTAATTACAATAGTTGC